ACATGACAGATTGCCAAACTTTTTCATTAATAGATTTTAAAATGATCTCATCCGAGCTTTCCAAAAAGAATAATTAGATCCGTCAAGTAGAGGTGGTCGAATCATAGAATTTCCCTGACGAATTGAATCCATTATCACAAATCAAACAGGATCTCACTCTAAAAGATTTTAAAAAAAAATAGAGCGACCTGCTTTGATACCAATTGAAAAATTTAGAAATCCTTTAGATATTGATTTGTGATTATGTATCAATTTTAAGCAGTAAATAACAATCCCAATCAAACAATCAAGACAAATCGACACAATGATTTTACGTGGAAAAACCACAATTGAAGCGCCTCTAATTGTGATAAAAAAAACAACGAGCAAAAGCCACAAAACGATCCACTAAGAAGACATAAAGGAATTACACAAGTGTACTCTCAATTACCTAGCGAATCCACGCTCAAATCGAACCGACCCCTATGTGCCTCTTCTAACCCCGTCTTCACCTCAGAATTGTCTTGTACAATGTTGAATCCACAACGCCAATGTCGAATCCACGACGATGAGCCACTCCAAAATCCACCAAAGCTTCAGGCCCAAATTCCACAGAATCCACCGAAGAACAACTCTCTCTTTTGTATTGAAAGAAACAAACAATCCTTTGATGTATACTTTTCAAACCATGAGTTAAACTCAAATAAATATCAAAGAAACTAGCAAAGAAGCTCCAGATATAAACCCTAATATCCAAGAAGAAGATCTGGAAGTCGTAACCCTAAAAACGGATGAAACCACATATTTATAGAAAATTGATCCGCGATCTCCACTCGAGCGCAAGAATGGCCGCTCGAGCGGACCTCACTCGAGCGCAGGAAAGTTCGTTCGAGCGTAAAATCCCAACTTCCAGTACTTTTGCACACAGGTCAAACTTCTGGAACCAAACGTTCTCTACTCGAGCGCACAAATGGCTGCTCGAATCCTTTGATGTATACTTTTCAAACCATGAGTTAAACTCAAATAAATATCAAAGAAACTAGCAAAGAAGCTCCAGATATAAACCCTAATATCCAAGAAGAAGATCTGGAAGTCGTAACCCTAAAAACGGATGAAACCACATATTTATAGAAAACTGCCCCGCGATCTCCGCTCGAGCGCAAGAATGGCCGCTCGAGCGGACCTCGCTCGAGCGCAGGAAAGTTCGTTCGAGCGTAAAATCCCAACTTCCAGTACTTTTGCACACAGGTCAAACTTCTGGAACCAAACGTTCTCCGCTCGAGCGCACAAATGGCCGCTCGAGAGGACAAGTAACTTCGAATGCAGATTTGCATTTTGCTTTGGGGGGCGCTGCCCCTAGATCCTGACATAGTCAGCAAAGTGGCAAACATGAAAGAATTAACTTCTAAAACATCTCTGCAAGGCACAATTCGGGTTGGATTCGCATCTAAAAACTCATAGCCTCGCTGAAATAAAAGAACGAATAAAATTATAACTGAAAGGAGTTTTGTCAAACGAGATTACTAAGAATAAAAACCTAACAAAATTCATTAAATACTGTGTAGCCAACAACCGCAACCCTCATCACACCTCCACTGCCACCCCATTCTCCCCTCTCAATCTACAAAGTCAAAAATCAAACCCAACCAAACAAACAAACAAACAAATAAAAAAGAAATAAATAAACCAAGCCAAATACCATAAATCAATGACTGGGTTGCGGTGCTGGGAGTTTGTTGCGACAATTCATTAAACACCTTGCAGCCAATTTACCACAGTTGCTCTTGAGAATTGGAGAGACATGAGTCCCAAACATCAAGAACCAGATATTGAGCATTGAGGGGGAAAATTTTGGAAGAAACAACATGTTTCCAGGAAAAAAAGTGAGTTCTTTGGGGTCAGAAGCCAACAAACTGGGATTTTTTGCGGGACAACTGGTGATGACAAAGAACCTTTACTTGAAATGGGTTAATGATGCTGAAACACCCCCCCTCCCCAAAAAAAAAAAAAGGAAAAACTGATCTTTCAGAGTGAAGAAGCAAAATGAGCAACTGGCTTCTTGAACATTGAAAGCAGAATTGCAAGGCCAAAAGTAAAGAGAAACAAAAGTGAGAGATCCCAAATACCCCCAATAACGTGGTAAGGATGTAGAGTGGCACATAAAGTAAAATTTTGCACTTACATTTTACATTTTTGTGAATGGAATTGTGGAGATTTTAAATATTTTCCTTCCTCATGTTCAAATGTGTTTAAGGGAACTTCTAAGCGACCTTTTTTTCTTTTTCTTTTTTTTTTTGTCTTTTGGTGTCTTATTTTTTAAAATTATGTCAAAAATTTTTATTTTTTTAATCCATCCTACCAAGACGAATCTAAAAGGATAAAAAATATATTCAAAAAACCTTTAAAAAGCCAAAATAGTTTTCATATAAACGGTGAGAAAAAAATTAAGTATTTTTGCTATTAAGTATTTTCCACAGAATTGTTGGTCCCATATAGTTTTGGGTCAATGATACAACTGAATACTAACTTCAGTTTTATAGGCTGAAATCTCGAGATATTCATTTCATCATTCAATATCATTTCTCAAATCTCTGTATAAAATGTTTATCTCAAATCATATGTGATCTCAATTTTTACTCACACGATTTTCAACCTACTATCAATGTCCTATTGAAATTAATCTAGGGGATAAGCTAGCTAAAATTATTAAAAGAGATAGTAGACTACTCAAAATTTTACGCCCAATTAGTCTCCTCAGGGTGGACTCAATATAATTTGAGACTTAAAACAATAATTTTAAATAAGGTATAATTTTTTTTATATAGAATTTTAAAATTTATTTTTTCAATTTTTTAGGTGAAAATTATTATTAAATATTTAAATTTAAGTTTTATACATTTTTTTTTATGACCGGATGGCTGGACCAATTTACGCACATCTCGACTAATCCCGAGACTCACACAAAGAACCCCCTCCCATGGATCTGGAAAATCTCAGGCAGAGTCAGCGGTCGTAGCCCCAAGGTAATTTGAGACTTAAAACAATAATTTTAAATAAGGTATAATTTTTTTTATATAGAATTTTAAAATTTATTTTTTCAATTTTTTAGGTGAAAATTATTATTAAATATTTAAATTTAATTTTTATACATTTTTTTTTATGACCGGATGTCTGGACCAATTTACGCACATCTCGACTAATCCTGAGACTCACACAAAGAACCCCCTCCTCATGGATCTGGCAAATCTCAGGCAGAGTCAGCGGTCATAGCCCCAAGGAGCGGATAGCTTTTATTGGGAGTTGAACCTGAAACCTAGAAGGATCACACCCTAGTCCCCAAGTTGCCCCCAATAGACCAACCTCTTAGGGTTAATTTTTATACATATTTAGAGATCTAATTGATATTTTAAGGATAGTTGAAAGAGTAAAATGAAATTTCAAATGAAGTTTCGGTGTCATCAACAGCTTATGTTTAATTATAGACGACAGTTGATAACAAGGTAACATTGATCCCAAATCAAATAGTTCAGGTGTGAAATAGATGTTATTAAAAGACTATGAATTAAATTGATTTTTAAATAATAGTTTGAAGGCAAAATAAAAAAATTTCGATATAATTTTACTTCTCAATCGGCTTAAACTCGGTATCATGTTTATTATTTTTGTAAATTGTTAAACTTTGTCATGTACTTTTAGTATTAAAAAAATTTAAAAATACAGAATTTAAAGCAAAATGTTAAGAATCATAAAAATTATTTTAAATTTTACTTCGAAAGTGTGTGTGGGGTATAAATTTAAAGTTAATGGGATGTAGGCCACCGTCATAATAAATGTAAATTATTGATTCCTTTTTTTTTAAAAAAAATAATTTTCTAAGTATTTTTTTTCTAAATTTCGAACATTGCTAAAATTAAAATATAAATGTGGTCATGGCGCTACCTATGGAGTATTATTGTTTTGAGTATGACTTACAAGTTGCATTTTTTGCTTATTATGAAAAGACGTAAAGAAAAATAAAAAGATGATGTGACCTAAATAAGCCAATAAATAACTTATTTATTAAGCAGTATCTCAGCTTTTTCTTCTTTGAATCTTCACTTCTTATTCGCATATACTAGCAATAAACTCGTGCTACGCACAAAGTAAAAATTTTGTATTTTTTTAAATATAAAATATTATAAATAAAAAAAATAACTCATTGTATTTATTTGAATGTTATAAAAAATTTCTATTAGAACAAAAATAGTTTAATAATTTTAAACTAACTATTAAAATTTAATTGTTAAAAGAATGTCAAATTTCATTGACGATCTATATTGATTAGATGAATTGTAACATTAACTAACTTTTAATATCTCTAACAAAAAAATAGTTTAAAAGTGTGGCGCTGATCTATTGTATAAAATAATATCTTGAGCGATAAGCAAGTTTTGCATGGTGTGAAAAAAAAAATGTTTGTGACTGTGTACCAATTAGGGTTTTAGATCGGAGAAAAAAGAAAATGAAGAAAAAAAAAATTAATCTCTCCTTTTGAATTTTTATAAGAGATAATAGATTTGGGCAAATTAAGAAAGTTTCTTTAACTTTCCTTTTGAAAAGCATAAATCATAGGATGTTATTGATTTTTATAATTATTAATTTAGTGTGTTAACCAATAATATTTTTAAAAATTATTTTTTAATTCAAAAATTCACAAATTTAAGTGGAAGTATTGGAGCTCTAACAAGATTTCTCATAAAAAAGCCAACTTTAACTACTTAAAAAAATTACTAATAAATAAATAAAATAAAATATAATTAAATTTCAATCACATTCTCTTTTTGTATTTTTAAATTTTTACCTAAATTTATAATCCAAACAAAATTTTAAGATTTTTATACAAACATAAAAATAAAATATAACAATAAATTTCTGAACATATTTGTATCATATATTTCAATAAGCATATGAATTAAGCAACAGTTTACCAAAAATTGGAAGGGAAGAAAAAAGGGAGAGAATAGTGCTATAAATGATTGGTTTGATTCGGGTTCAAGGCACCAAGAAGATTTTCCCATATCAAAAATTGATTTTCTGTGTTTCTCTCTCTCTCTCTCTCTCTCGATTGCTCTCTCTCTCATGATCTCCTAGCGCTCTCTCTCTCGATTGCTCTTAATCTCGCATCCTCTCTCTGTGTTCTCTCAATCGATCATTCCTTCAATTAATCAATCAATCCATCGAATGGTGGAGGAGAGTTTCAAATACGTGATTCTAATCGGTGACATCTCCACTATGAGTATCTTTCAATTAATCTATTGATTTTCTACTTCACACTGTTTTTGCTTTGTTAACCTCGATTCAGTTCGTTCTCTCTCTCTCTCTCTCTCTCTCTCTCTCCATCGGCATCTGTGAACCTGTGAACGAAGATCAATCGAAAACGACGCCATCAATCACCTCCTTCTCGTCCATTCCGATCTCTCATCTCTCATTCACCAGGTAACTAATTCGTACTTCTAGAGAGAGAAATGAGATAGCAAATTCATATTTGATCAAACATTGGTTTGGAGGAAATCGAACCCCTTAGATTTGTCTGAAATTGTTGTGTTTTGTTGCTTTGTTTCTGCATTGATTCACTGACAAGATCTAGGATTGTATTTTTTATTTTTTTATTTTTTTATTTCATTGATTCATTGATAATATAGCAATTATTTTTTATTTTTTATTATTTTTTTAATTTCTCTGCATTCTCCATTCCATTTCTAGGTCTGTCTATCTTGATTTTGCTTGGTTGCTTCTTATTTGTTATTGTAGTGTAGTGTGAATTTTTGTGTGTATGCTCATCTTTTGTTATATGATTTCAATTTGTGTTACTGTTAGCTACATATTACTTTGAATCAATTTTTCCAAACTTTCGTTGAGAACTCATGCCTGCAGAAATCAGCAAGGCCAAGCAAAATTCAGAGAATGTATGCAGAGCCTTGATTTAGGGCCATCCTTTGAATTAACGACTTCTTAGTTTGTCCTCTATTGGCTACTACCACCTTTAGAATGAATGCTCATGTTAGCATCCTAACAGTGAATTGGAATGAGCATTCATTCTATTTAACTTTCTATTTCATTTTCACTCTCATTGCATTTCATCATACCAAACATAAATGTGAGAATAAACAAAAAATAAACAAAAATCTAAATATGCCAAAATGACATTTGCACCAATAGAGCAACATGGTCATAATGAAGCATATTTTTCACTTCCTGCCATAAATGTCATCCTAACCAAATGGAGGGTTTCACCGTTCTTTGACTATAAACTTATATATCTGTGTGTGTTTAATTATGCCTAAATACCTTTTGGGAGACGCTATTTCCTGTTTTGACTTTTGCCAATTCTAACAGCATGACTTTCACGAGATTTTGTTACTATTACCAGACATGCAAAGTTAGTCGTTTATGTTGACATTTCTTTTTTTTGCTTTCTGTTATGGAAATATATTGTGCTTTCTTTTGTGTTTAAAGATATTACTTACAATTATCTTCATTTGGACCGGTACCTCTCCTGCAAAGTCATCATCAGTATTATTTGTTACTCTTTCTCAAGCCTGGTGGATGGCAATATCCAATTTGGGCCAGTAGAAGGTACTTTTGCTGCAAATGTCAATTTGAAACTGGGATTAATATGATTCTAGCTCAGAAAGGAACCTCACCTCCAAGGTTACCATAATTTTTTTTATTATTTTTTTTGTTGGGTTTCTTGCCTATGTTTAACTCCCACAACAGTTGTTTCTACTGCCTTGGTTTTTTTTCATCTGGCGATAAAGTTTAACTGGTTTGGGCCGTTTGGCTCTTGTAACTTAAATTCTTAGATTTACTTTTGGTTGGGTAGCAGGCGGTATAAAACTCTTCAAACCAACTATTTATTTTCTTCATTCTATAACGTATGTCTAGGTCGTCGCTCATAAATTTTCATAATCCTTGTGGAATGATTCAACATTTCCAATTGACAAGGCTGTGTTGGCTTGGCTTTCAATAATTGCATATCGAAACAAGGACAAAAAACCTGGGGAGAAATTGGTGTCCGTCTCTAATGTTGTAAAGGAGCACTGGGCCTCTTATGGAAGAAACTTCTTTTCCAGATATGATTATGAAGTAAGCTTTAGTCTATGATGTATTTTGAATTGTTTTGAAGTATTCTGAAACTTTGTTATTTATTTGAAACTTGAAAGTGTAAACTGGAATTTTTGCATTGCTTGAGAGGTACAATATTCTGACACTAACTCTGTATTCAGGAATGTGAATCTGAAGGAGCAAACAAAATGATAGATTATCTTAGAGATTTGGTTTCTAAGAGCAAGTCAGGTGATAAGTATGGTAAGTTTGAAGTCAGTTTTTGTAAATCTATCTCAACCTTTCATTTTATATTTTTAAAAGCTAATGAGGGAATCTGTTGTAGGAAGTTATGTCCTTCAATTTGCAGGGAACTGGTTCAACTGGTGCTACTTTTAGAATGCATACATTGAACAGTTTGAGCCCGATGTCTCTAAACATGACATGGACGCCCAAACTGCACTAAAACCTTTAATAGGTTAGTTCATTTGTCATTTTGATAAGCTTACTTATGTCATTATATTTAATGTCTACTTGGTCGTGGTGTTAGATCCAGCGCTGTCTGTATCAAAGCTGAAGGACTTCACTGGAAGGGAGAAGCCTACAGTTATCACATAAATCTGAGTGTCTGATGTTAATCTCACACAATGAAGCTTCATTAGTAATCATGTAAAAGTAGGTTGGGCATCCCATCTTTTCTCCTGTATGTTTCTAATATTTATATATATTTTTTGTTTGGTGTTGATTGCATATCTTAAGCTCATGGTTTATTAGTAATGAATTTTTCTCAATTTTTGTATATAATAGTTCATCAATTTCATGTGTGTATTCAACGTTTTGTATAATCCAGTTTCGATTATGCGACTTTGTAGGGCCTCACAAGGTATGTCATTTACTTTCTCTCCCAATCGATCAATTTCTCTGTCACTCGATCATTTTTTCCCAAAAACTTCGAATTCATCATTTGATTTAAAGTCTATTCTCGAAGACGACATATGCTAGTTTAACTAGTCATAGGATTTGCTTTCACTTTGAATCAGAGCAGAGGTTTTGCTAGTTACAGTTGCTATCATGACTTAATGGTCATGCATGATTTTCAGTGGATTGTGTGGTTCAATGATAGAAGTGATGAGCATAGTATTTCAGGTTTTTTCACAACTAAATTAATAGTTGAGTTGTTTCAATTATGCCTCATCCAAATAGCTGCAATATCATATTCTAACTTTTGGCTACCCAAAATTGGGTCTAACCAACCATCCAACTAATGGAGGATATACCTAATGGCATATCCTATGACTAGTTAGAAGGAGAAAAATAAAATTTGGCACATCCACACACCATCTAGTGGTCAGAAATGGTTGGCCCTATAGCTTATCCCATTATTTACCTCATCCTAACTTAAACATTGAATAATATATATTCCTATCAGAGAAATTTAATCTTGGAATTATCATATATTATTTTAAGGATTAGTTATCCCTCTATTCTTATTCAGATTAAATAAACACTCTAAAGATGATAAATATAACAAAGAAAATGCTAATAGCAGCCCTTTGGCTTGTAAATAACAATAAAAAATTTATAAATAATGTGTAAAAATTATATTGAAAATTTAACTTTGTTGGCCTTCTCTTCTTCTAAAAGCATGACCCTATAGGCGTGGACATTGATTTTTCTGTGCAAATTTTCCCATGCTTTTAGCATTATTGAGAGAATAAACTATGGCACTTCTTTATCAGTCCCAGCTTTGAAAATGATTTCAGGTCAGAATGGTTACAAAGATAATTAAGATTACAAGGAAATGATACTAACTGATTATCTGTCACCATTTCATGAACAACTATTCTTTCTTTTTAACTCTAATGATATGTCATACATCTTTGCACCCAAATCTTTTCCTTCTAGTTTTGAAAACTCTCTATTTTTTCCAAGTAGTAAAATTATGTCATGAAAAGTGTAATGATTTATGACATGCAAGAAAATGCCATAAAAGATTATATACGGCATATAAAGTATGTCATAAATATATTAAAAATGACATTCTACGGCATACAAAATTATGTCGTGAAAAGTGATGATTTATGACAGCAAGAAAATGTCATAAAATATCATATACGGCATACAAAGTATGTCATAAATATATTAAAAATAACCTTCTACGGCATGCAAAATTATGCCATGGAAAGTATGATGATATAGCATGACAAAAATGTCGTAAAAAATTATATACGACATACAAATTATGTCATTAATGTTTAATTTATTACTTTTTACAACTTTACCTGCATGCCGTAAATCATACTCAACTTTTCACGGCATGCCATATAACGGCATTTGTGTGCATGCCGTGAAAGAGTTTTACGGCATGCATTACAAGCCATAAAAATTCAATTTTGTTGTAGTGAAACTTATAAAATTTACATAGAATTTTACCGAAAAAAATAAGAATATGGTCCAGATTTAATCGAAATATAGGATCCACTACGAAACAACTAAATCTAGACTACACATCATCTTTCATGGCACACTACAACAAAATTGAATATTTACGGCTTGCAATGCATGTCGTAAAAACTCTTCCACGGCATGCTCACAAATGCTATTACATGACATGCTGTGGAAAGTTGAGCATCATTTACGACATGCAGGTAAAGTTGTAAAAAGTAATAAATTAAACATTAATGACATACTTTGTATGTCGTATATAATTTTTTACGACATTGTTATGCTTTAATTCTACCTAATCCAAAACTTCTATAGTGCAGATTGCCTAAATGTGTAATTTTACATTTGGAGAAATCCACTTCTGTCCCTCAAAAATTAAAGCCAAAAGTGTAAATGACTACACTTTTGTATAATTTCCACTTTAATGGGACCTTTGGGTTCATAAGAAAAAAGAGAGAACCAAACAGTTCACAAGATTACATTTTGAGATTATTGGCACTACAACAAAATTGAATTTTTACGACTTTCAATGCATGCCGTAAAAAGTTGAACAATATTTACGACATGCAGGTAAAGTTGTAAAAAGTAATAAATTAAACATTAATGACATACTTTGTATGTCG